TGGGGGGGGGGGATGGCTGAAGAGGCTGGAGGTGGGGAGGCTGGGCCCTGCTCCCCCCCCCCAGGGCTTAGGGCTGAGCCAGGGGCTCCTAGGTGGGCGGGGGGTGAGGCAAGGGGTCCCATTATGCCCTCTCTCCTGGGTGGGTGGCCGGAGGTCCTGAGTGCAGGGCCTGGGGAAGCGAGCAGGGCCCTTTTCCCAGGAGCTGGGTGAGTCTGGCTGGAAGCCAGCTTGGGCAGCAAAATCCTGACAAAGCCAATGAGCTCCCTTCCCACTGTGCTGCCCCACTGTCCCAGGAGTCCCCAGCCTGAGCCCAGGAGAGGAGTGGGCTGGGCAGTCCTCCAGGGGCTGAGCAGCCCAGCCACCCGCCTGCCTTCTGCAGAGCTGGCCAGAGGTGTAACATTACCGGCAGCACCGGCTCATGGCGCCACCCGCTCCAGCCCCTGAGCTCCCACCAGCTGATCACCTCCCCCTGGGCTCTGGCACCCAGCCAAGGCGGGCTGTGCAGGGCCCAGCAAGGCTGGCTGGGGGCTGGGTGGAAGGGAGATCCAGCAGGCTTGCAATATTTGGGGGACACAGAAGACACAGGGTCCCCAAAAGCCTCCATCCTCCTACCTTTTTCCAAATGAGGAAACTGAGGCCAGAGAGGGGTGGGACCTACTCAGGGTCCGGTGGGTTTTTAGTTGCATCTGGAAAGAGGCAGCTCTGAGACAGGGCAGAGTGTGTGTGTATTGGGCAGGAAGGAGCTTGGATGAGCCTCTCCCCTCTTGCCATCACACTTGGCCCCAGAGCTCAGAGCCCCATGGTGTCCCCCCCAACCTTATCTTTGCATCTTTCTGTCCACAGCAGTGGGCCTTGTCTCCTGGGAACAGCTCATCAGAGGTGGAAGGTAAGCCAGCTAGGCTGGGCGTACGTGTGCTAACCAAGCCCCTCTTTTCTTTTCTTCCAAGCCTCAGCAGAGGATGGCAAGGGATTGGCATAAAGGATGAGTGCAGGCTGATAATAAGTTGGGGAGAGTCTACAAACTAGAAATCCTGGCTGATGAAGTTGGCAGAGCCTAAGAGATCCCCCCATTGTGACCCAGAGTCCTAGGGAGGTGCATTCCTAGGCCAGGGTCACCCAGCACACAGAGTAGGGCTGGGGCCAACATACCCAGGATTGTCTGGCCAGCTCAGAGCCCCTTCCCACCATGATGTAAGGATGCAGCTGGGGTCTAGGAGGACAAGGTGGGCAGTGAGTGCCAGGGGTCAGACTAGGGGTCTGGGAGCTGGACATAGTAGGCCTCTCAGTCCAGAGGATCAGGGAGGGGTGAGGCCCCTCCCCAGCAGCCCAGCCCTGATGGAGCTGCAGGGATCTGACCAGGCCTCTCCATTGATTACAAACAGACAGAACATGAGTTACGCCCTCCCTGGCCCCTCCACTTCCCGCCCAGGTTGCATCAAGAGGGAATCTTCAAAGGGCAATGAGACATTTGCCAAAGAGACATTCGTGCAGAGGGCAGGAGACCCATGCCAGCCCCCCGGTCTCGCTCCTCCTTCCCTGCCTCTCCAAAACGTGCAGAGCAGCCACACACCACTGCTGAGGCTTCCCACTGTGCCGTGGGAGAGGGGGCGTGTAGGGACGTGCACACACACACGCGTGATGGCTGTCAGGGAGCTGGAAACACCCTCTGCCGGCCGGCCTGCCCGCCCACCCGCCTGCCTGCCTGGCAGCCAGCCTCTCCCAGTTCTGGCTGAGACCCAGGCCCCTTGGCCACTGAGCAGGTGAGAGAAGTAGCTGCCCATGACTTCATTGACTTCCCCCTTGCTGTGTCCTCTGGAACTAGTACAATATTACGCTGTCTGGGATTTGGGGAGGAACCTATTCCCCACTTCCACACCACGCCTTTTTGTGTAGTTCAGACAACAGCTACCAAAGATGCCTGAGCCTCAGTTTCCTCATCTATAAAATGGGAGCAATAGACCACATAATATCTAAATTCCTTCTTTTTCTAAGCTTGTAGAATTTCTGACGTTATGGAGGAGACACAGGTGTATATATCTCCCAGGATCTGGGATAAGGAGGCTTGGAAGTGTAGGTTTATTAGGTCAGCTCATCTGTCATCCTAATCAGGGAGGCTGTATTGGGGCCAGGAAAAGTACAATGAACTTCGGACCTCAGTTATTGAAATCAGAAAATGTCAGTCCCTCTTGCTAACACCAGAGCAAGAGACAGCACAGTCCAGCCGTGGATGTTGGTTTTGCTACTACTGTTCATGGTAATAGTGTTGGGCATTTACTATAATTCCCTCCTGACCCCAAGGCTGTGATCTAGGAAGGCATTAGTATTCTTCACATTTTCTAGAGGAAGAAGCTGAGGCTACTACTACTGTTCATGGTAATAGTGTTGGGCATTTACTATAATTCCCTCCTGACCACAAGGCTGTGATCTAGGAAGGCATTAGTATTCTTCACATTTTCTAGAGGAAGAAGCTGAGGCTTAGAGAGGCCACTGGGGTCACCTAATGCCTCAGACACTGCTCAGTATATCTGGCAGAACTAGAGCGCTCAGCACCAGGCCTCCTAACGGCTCAGCGGCTGAGCAGGCATGGCAGGGTGTCCCTTGTGGCAGACTGGCTGTGTGCCCTGCCAGTGACCATGGAGAGGACACCTGCTGGGCTCGGGCTGGTGGCCAGCAGCTCTGCCCAGCCCTGCGGCGCCTCTCCAGAAGCTTGCTCTCAGAATTAAACAGCTCCCTCCTGGGGCTCCGTCATCCTGGGCAGTAGGCAACTGGGGCCAGAAGAGAGGCTCACCCATGGGGCTGGCGAGCGAGCTGAGTGCCCACTCGTGCCCCCAGGAGCAGCCCTCAGGGGACCACCCAGCCTTGGCCAGGAGCCTCCTGCTCTTCTCCCCCCGACCCCCACCCAGAGCGGGTCTGGGCCAGCAGCAGAAGTGCTCGCGGGTGCAGCTGGGCAGAGCTCTTTCCTGAGGGGCTCAGCCCATGTGGCACGAGCAGTCACTGAGCTCCTGCAGCCCAGGCCCTCGCCAGCACCCTTGGTTGCTCCCACATGCCCCGACAGGGCCTCCAGGGGTGAGCTGCCCCCTTTCCTGGTGACCGCCAGGTAAGTTAGCATTGGCCCCCCTCCTCCCCAGCCCTCCCCCGACGCAGTCTGGCCACGTGGCCCGGAAAGTGGCAGCTTTCAGGATTTCAAGGCCCTGAAGCCTGGGTTCTGTTGACGCAGAGTCTGCATGGTGGGATGTGGGGTGAGGAAAGGAAATCCGTCTTCTACCGCCGAGGCCCGGCAGCTCTGCTGAGCCCAGGGGGTGGGAGAGTGTTTGCCGGAGGGTTGGGGGCTGAGGTGCCCCTTCTCTGCTGCTCTTCCCCTCCCTGACGGCTGGTCCCGGGACTGGAGCCTGAGCCTTCGCTGGTGCTTTGGTGGCTGGCTATTCCTCTGCTGTTATTTACGTTTTCCAAGGTGGAGATTAAACGTTCAGAATCATGTAGTGCTCATGAAGATTTTAGACTAAACACACAGCTCATGGAGCTGGCGATAGGGAGGGAGGTGCTCTCTGACCCGTATTGCAGAGGCAGACTTCTCTGGGCTTCAGGGCCCCTTAGGGGAGAGGGCCTGTTGCCCACTTGCGTCCAAGCGGAGTGTCCAGTGGCCTGGAGAGGTAGAGTCAGGGGAGGCTCCTGCATCCCCATCCCAGCCCTTGGCCCAGCCCTGGTGCCCCCTCAGCAGAGCAGGGCAGAACGAAGCAGCAGACACCCAGATAAGCACAGTTTATTGCCTCTGCAGCCACCTCAGCCAGCTCCACACGGACGGGCCGCCTCCTGGGTGGGTATTTTCTACGAGCTCGCAGCTTTCCTGAGGGCCTCTGCTAGGACTGAAGTTTATTTTCCTTCTGAGATTACCATTTTCTACCAGCTCGCAGCTTTCCTGAGGGCCTCTGCTAGGACTGAAGTTTATTTTCCTTCTGAGATTACCCTGAGACTCCCATCCTCATAGGCTCAGGGGAATGGACTTTGGCCCCTTCTGCCTCCTAGGAAGGGCCCTAGGCAGTGAGGGGCTGCTAGGAGAGGCCGTTGATGCAGAGCAGGATGGCCTGGGCCCATGGTCTCAAGGCTGGGCCAACTGGGCTGTGTGCACAAAATCATGGACCGTCTGTCGGAGTGGGAGGGACCTTGGCAACCGTCTGTTCCCAGCCTTCTCCTTTTTCCCCAGCAGAGGAAATGGATACACCCAGAAAGGTTGATGACCTCTCCAAGGTTGCACAGTCGGTATAGGGCCAGGACTAGAAGCCAGGTTTCCTGGCTCTGCCACTCCCTGTGAGCCTCTGTGTGGCCTTGCCCTGAAGAAGCAGCATCTTTGACGGGTTCCAGTTCAGCTCTCAAAAGATCCCATTCATGACCACCAGGACATGGTGGGGTTTGGGGATGTCCCTGATAATCCTCTGTGAACTATCACCTAATCAATCAGGAATTAGTTAGCCTGTGTTTACCGGGTATCTCCTCTGTCCCTGTCCTCAGAGTCTCAATTTGGTTGTAAAGGAGATAAGAGCCACCAATAACCAAGATAAGGCAAGCCCTGGGGCCAAGCTACGCCCAAGGGAGGAACATCTGTTCATAGTGGAATAGTTGGAGAAGGCTTCGGAGAGGAGGTGGGCCCTGAGAAATGGGGGTAGGCTTCATTTGGGTAGAAATGAGGGGAAAGGAGAGCACCCAGATGGACCAATTCGCCACCAAAGTGGCGAATTAATGTGCTGCTGCCCTGGCCCGGTTTGAGGGCTGTCGGACTAAGTGGAGAGGCAGGAGGGTGCATTGCTGGATGTGGTCCTTGTTGCCAGGTGGAGGAGCTAGCACAGAGTGGGGCAGGAAATGAGGGAGCCATGGAAGGGTTTTGAGCAGAGGACTGAGGGGAAGGCCAACCCTCCCCCCGGGACTCCAGAACTGACTGTTTCCTGCAAGTTCCCCAAGATGAAGGCAGTCCCGGATCAGGCCTGAGAAAGATGAACAGGGCCTGCCTGGAGAGCTGCAGAGCACTCTCCTCAGAGCTTCCAGGAACCAAGGCAGACGTGGGTGCAAACTGAGAACAGAGCAGAGAGCCCTGGTCACTGAGAGATTCTGTCCACTGGGGTTTCCGTCCAGCAGATGAGCTGGGGTCGAGCAGGCATCACAGAGGGATCACATCGGGAGCTCAGGGCAGAGGGAGCTCGGATAGGGCTGAGGGCTTCCTGGACGAGGGGGTGTGGGCTGAACCTGGAAGGCCCGGTAGGGTCTCGGGAGCCAGGCCTGGGGCTTCAAAGAGCAGGTCCCTGCTGTCCTGACCCAGCCTTCTTGCATCCTTGTAGTGGTGCCCTTCCAGGAAGTGTGGGGCCGCAGCTACTGCCGGGCACTGGAGAGGCTGGTGGACATCGTGACTGAGTACCCCAGTGAGGTGGAGCACATGTTCAGCCCATCCTGCGTGTCCCTGCTGCGCTGCACCGGCTGCTGTGGTGATGAGAACCTGCACTGTGTGCCGGTGGAGACGGTCAATGTCACCATGCAGGTAGGAAGGCTCTCCTCATTGTGGCCCTGCCTGCCATCCTCTGCACCCTGCTCGTGGGGCCACAGGACCTGTTCACTAGGAGGGACTCAGAGAGGGCAGGAGGCAAGCCACAATCCTGACACTGGAACCTGACTCCCAGGCCAGTGTTCTTACCCTCCCAGCACAGGGCCCCTCCTTCCTGAGCCCCCGTCATGGCTCTGAGCCCATTCGCCTCCATCTGCATCAGCTTTGTCAGGCCTCCACAAACTCTGTCTTGACTCAGGATATCTAGTTGAGGCTGGAAAGAAACCTACTTGTATTAAAGAAGTCTTTGTTGGGCCGGCCTGTGGCTCACTCGGGAGAGTGCGGTGCTGATAACACCAAGGCCATGGGTTCGGATCCCACATAGGGATGGCCGGTTTGCTCACTGGGTGAGCGTGGTGCTGACAACACCAAGTCACGGGTTAAGATCCCCTTACTGGTCATCTTTTTTTTTTAAAAAAAAAAAAAGAAGTCCTTGTTTATACCAGGAGCTTTAGTGTCCTCTCGAGCAAGCTCGGCCCCTGAGCTTTGCTTGCACCTTTGAGGCAGGTGTCATTCCTGTTTCATGGAGGAGGAACTTTAGGTTCAGAGATGTTATTTCACTTGCTCAGGAGGTAGAAGGGCTGAGATTTGAACACAGGTCTCTCTGCCTCCAGAACATGGGTCCCCTTCCTGTACTGTTGCGGTGCTGGTGGTCCTGGGTAGGGAGGGACAGAGGCCTCCCTCAGATCCCCATGCATATGCTAGAGCTGTTTGCCCCACACTCAAAGCAGAATGACGGCTGGTGGGAAATGGGGAGTCTGGTCCTCCTCACATGGAGAGAGTGGAGGGAGTGCTGGAAACCCATGGACCAACCCTTTTCTTCCCGCAGCTCCTGAAGATTCGCTCTGGGGACTGGCCGTCCTATGTGGAGCTGACATTCTCTCAGCACGTACGCTGTGAGTGCAGGTAGGTCCTCAGGTGGGTAGCAAGGACAGGTCCCCTGCACTAGGCAGCATCAGCAAAGATGGGCGCCAGGGCAGGGACGGAGGCAGAGGCTGCACCCAGCTGAGGGAGACCAGGGAAGTCAGAGACCAGGGGCAGCCATCATTCATTTTCTACCCCCACCAGGCAGTTTTGCGTGGGGAGCTGGTCCCAGCGGCTGGTGACAGGGGAAGAGGAAGCTTGGGTCCCTCCCAGACTTGCAGGGCTCAGCACATGTCATCCCCTCTTCCAAGACAGGAGGCAGCTGCCACAGGCCCCTGGAAGAGGTGCCTGGAGACAAAGACAGTGCGAGTCTAGACAGCCCCGGTCCATGCTGCCTGCCCCTGGGAGGGGCAGACTGGGCTGAGAAGCAGAGAGAAGGACAAGCCCTGGTGGAGAAAAGGGGCAGAAGAAAGGAGGCACTGTGGTTTCTTTAAAGTTGTGGCACCTCTGCCACCTCTCCCTCCCCCAACCCGCAGAGCCTCTGACCAGCACCAGCCTTGCACTTGGGCCTGGGGCACTTGTCACCAGGAACAGCAGGCCTGGCACTGCCAGCCAGGTTCAGGGAGGAAAGAAGCAGGCTGAGATGCTGCTCCTTGTACCACTGGGCCATGGATGGAGGCCCCAGACTCGAGGTCCAGTGCCCTGGCCTGGGGTGAGAAGAGGGGGGGACCACCATTTACTGTGCACCGACTCTGTGCCTAGTCCCACACTAGGCACTTGAATGTGTCCTCTCATTTCCTCACAAATATTTATCGAGCACCTACTGTTTGCCAGGCACTGTCCTAGATGCTTGGGACATAGTGGTGAGTGAGACAGACAGGGCCCCTGCTCTCATGACAACCGTAGGAGGTAGGTACTATTGCCACCCCATTTTACAGATGAGGACACCCAGGTTTGATACAGTTATGTGATTGGCCACAGCAAGTGAGTGCGGGAGGAGGGATCTGAGCTCCAGCCTGTCTCACTCCTCAGCCTGCGTTTTTTTCATGCTACCTCTCGTGGCCACTAGCACATCTTCCAGTAGCCCCTGTACTGCCCTGGGTGTGGCCCTGCCGAGCGTCCAGGGCTCTGGCTGCACCTCTTGCTAGGCCCTCTTCACTGTGCCAGAACTGGGGGCCCTGCCTCAACCTGCTTCCTCCCATCCCTCCCAGCCAGAGCTCAGCCATTTAACAATAGCTCCTGGCACAGTGCTGGATGGTGACCTTTCACCTTCTACATCAGCTTTGTCCTCACAGCCACTCTTCTGGGGCAAGCAGATGAGGAGACTGAGGTTCCGAGAATGTCTCTGACTTGCCCAATATGGTGAGGTATGACCAGGCAGTCCCAAGAGGCCCTGGTGCCCTGCCCTGGCTCCCAAGGGAGAGGCCAGCCTAGGGCAGCATTTTCTGGCCCCAAAGCAGACTGTCCCATGCCTCCACCCACTGTTCCCAGGGAAGACTGAGGCCCTGTCCCCTTCCAATGGGCTTGGCAACAGGGACACCTTTCTTCTTGCTTCTGGGCCAACAGCCACAGCCCCTGGAGGCAGAGCTGGGACATGGCTGTTGCCTGGGGGTGGGGTGGGGGGCAGCGCCCTGATAGGCAGACCGAGCTGGCGGCAACCATCCCCAGTCCCCGGCCTGGCCCATCATTTTCTGTCCTTGAGGAATCTCCCAGAGTGCACCCCGGAAGGAAGGGGAGGAAGTGAACAGAGAAAGTGAGCAGCAGAGAATAGACTCAGAAAGACCCAGATGTGACGCCAGGAGGCTGAGGAGTGCAGAAGGGTGTGGCGAAGGGCCCCAAGAGGGAACTCGCACCTCTCTTGGAGTGGGAGCCCAGGGCCCTCTGGCCATGTCCCCCTCACCGGCTCCATGCTACCCCCTAGTGGCCTCAGTGTCAACTGCAGGACTCAGGACCAGGAGGTCTGAGGGGAAGTGTGGGGGGTGGCAGGGACCCCCACTCACGCTTTCCTAATTCGCCCCTGCCCTCTGTCTTCTGTTTCCCCAGACCTCTGCGGGAGAAGATGAAGCCAGAAAGGTAAGTGGCCTGGCTGGGGCTCGGGCTATTCTTGGGCCTGCCAGCCCCTGTCCTAGCATGGGGGCCCCCAGCCACCCTCTCCTGACGCTTTTGGCTTATTGCAGGAGGAGACCCAAGGGCAGGGGGAAGAGGAAGAGAGACAAGCAGAGACCCACAGACTGCCACCTGTGAGTGTGCGGGGGGCGCAGGGACGGCAAGGAGGCTGGGCCCCAGGGGAGCCCCGCCCTAGCCCTGCCAGCAGGCGTTAGTGGTGGGCAGGGAAAGGCAAGGCGGAGGGCAGTCAAACTCTGCCTCCTTGAGGCTCTAGGGCCCAGGAAGCATCAAGGGACCTTGGTTCTTGTCCTGGTTTAGCCTTGTATGGCCTTGAATGAATCACTTCACCTTTTTGAGCCCAGTTTTTCTCTGTGTAGAATGAGGGGGTAGGGGGTCCACTGAGCATTTGGTCATTCTGCAAACATTTACCAAGCACTTACTGTGTGCCAGGTACACCAGTGAACAAGCAAGCAAGACTGGGGCGCTTACAGCGCTTATCTAGTGATGAACAGTTAGTTATCTAGGGCTGCTGCCTAGTAACCCTGGGGAAGGGGCACTCTCCAACCCCCACTGGCTCCCAGGCCGGAATTTCTGCCATGGGGTACCCTTGCTTCCTCTTGCCCTCTCGGTGTTACCTGCCCACCTTGGCTTCACACCTGGGGAAGTCCCAGGCCTGAGTGTGTCTAGGAGATAAGGATTAGAGAAAGGAAAACCTGACTCCGTGAGAGTAAATAGTAAAAATAAAATATTTCCCCTGCACAGCAAATTGGTCACACTGTGGTTCCCTTTCAGGGCCTAAGTCATCCTGCAGCTCCAAGACTCCAGGAAATCTTTTCATGATATGGGGTGGACCTGACCCAAGTCCTACCGCAGGAGCCCACTCCTCCCTGAGTGGAGATTTCCACCCCACTCAGTGAAGACAGGGATTCTGGGGATGTTCCTTCCCCTAAGCCTTCTGGCCCTCATTTCTCCCCTGGGCCCACTGAGTGATTTGGGGAAGGAGCTGGCAATGAGGTCATTTCAGGGCCCCAACTGCAGCCCCGCAGCCCCAGATCGAAAGTATCCATCAGTTCATTTCCCAGGGCAGCAGTCCTCAAACAGCTCATTCAGGAACCTCCTGAAAGAGTTCCAGAAGTCTGTGTGCTCCCTTGCTCATTTTCAAGTTGACATTGAAATTTCAATATAATTATAAATAATTTCAAAGGATATAATTTCTAGCATATTATAAATTTTAATTTTTAAATATAAGCCTATTGAATTTAATATAATTCACTCTTCAGGTGTTTCCTATGGAATAAGCCATCCTGATTTAATACTCACTGGCACCCACTTTTAAAAAAATGAACAGCAAAAAAAATACGTGAGAACCCTCCGTTAGTAGTTACCTATTTATGTTCCTTCTTTTTTCCTTGAACTTGTACTTCCATTTCACTTCCCCCACAGAATCTGAGCCCAATGTAATATTATTTTTAATGTTTCAAAAGTTTTTTATTTATCACTTTGTATTTATCTGCCACAAAAATGGCATACGAGTTTGGATTATTTTAAATTTCCTGTGAGCATAAAACTAAGTTTTCTCCTGGAATAAATTACCAAAATAATTATTTGCACTTGATCACAACAGCACAGATACATCATATTTTAATAAACGTTAAACAAAGAAGGACAATCAACCTTATTGGACTGCTTCTCAATGAGCTGGATGTAGCTACCTCTTTTCAATTAGTTAATGAATCCGTTAATGAATGTTACTTCCTGCCACACTGAGACAGGATCCAGCATTAATTCCATTGCTGTTTATTATTTTTTATAGATGAAAAGGTTGAGAAACCATGCCCACATAAATAAATAAATGGGACTGGATGTCACCCAATTGCTTGAGTTCCTTCCAAGTTATTTGCCAAAAGCCTCAAGGTGATCTGCTAACAAAAATTACTCCTAAGGACATACTGGCTGACTATTCGGTTAAGTTGTTCTTCAATTTTGTGGAAAGACTTGGAAACCACCTGACCTGCAAAAGGCTTGGTTACCAGTCATTTGCCATATTTCTTTGCTCAACACCTACACCAGTATCTGAAACTGTTCTTTTGTTTCCTGTCCCCCAAAATACTTTTGCCTTGCGGCAAAGCACTTTAAAAGGATTTGCAATGGGCAAGATGCTTTCTTCCTTTCTGAAGGGAGAAGGGCAATTGTGGATGGGGAAACAGACCTCCAGCACTTTCTCACGCAAGCAATTTTAAGGCAGCGTGCGTGTGCAGGCTGAAAATTGATTTCTTTAAAACTATCAATACTCAGTCTTCATATATGTCTAGGGATACCTGTTACCCCATTTGAAGACTGCTGCTGTCTTAGGGGGTAACCAGAGGCATTATTACATGAAGCCAGACTGAGTTCAAGTGTGACTGTGTCACTGACTAGCTGTGTGACCTTGGGCCAGTTTCTTAACCTCTCTGGGCCTCAGCTTCTCATTTGCGAGAGGACGATCCTAACAGTGCCTTCCTCACGCCACGTTGTTAAGGGTAAATGAGATGGTGGTCAGTGCAGGGCTGGGCACTGGATACACGCTTGGTGAAAGGTGGCTCCCAGCTTCTTGCTGGCCTCGGTGCAGGCAGGGATTTGGGGGTGCTGCATCCCTCCCATGCTCCCTGTCCAAGCTTCCCCTCTGGGTCTGCACCCCCACAACAGGAGGGGCCTCTGCACTGCACAGTGCTGACACCCCCTCTCCCCATCTGTGTTTGCTCTCTGGCAGGTGCGGCGATGCTGTTCCCCGGAGGTAACCAGCTCCTTGGTGGAGAGACCCCAGCCCCGGCTCGTGTATTTATTACCGTCACTCTGTTACCTCCCTGCTAGCACCTGCCCTCTATTTATTAGCGAACTGTATCCCTGCTGAATGACTCGCTCCTTCCAAATGAGGGACAGGGAGGGACAGGACCCTCAGGAACTCAGTGCCTTAAACAGACGTGAGAGAAAGAAAGAAGCCAGCCACAGACCCATGGAAGCTTCAGCTTGGGAAGAAGCAAGATGTGGCCTTACGAGGGACAAGCCAGGCCCCAGAGGCCCCAGGGGTCTCAGGGGACTGGAGAAGGACAGAGAGGAGGACCCACCACCTGTTCCTGGGCCTCGGACTCTGCCCAGAAAAACAGCCCTTGTGCGGGGAGCCCCTGGCTAAGGTAGGGGTGCAGGAGGCTGCTTGGCTGCCACGGCCCCTGCTGGATGGCTGGGCAGGCAGTGGCAGAGGGCATCGGCCCTTCCGCCGCCACTTCCTCCTCCTCCTGGCAGCATCTCTTCGCCCTGGAGATCAGAACGTTCAGCTGGAGAGAACAGCGGTTGCCTGGGGTCTCTTGCCACTCCTTGTCCCCTATGGTCTCTCCTCACATTCTGCCACCTGCTTATGCTGGGATATTGTTCCTTCCAGACAAGGCACCACCATCCTGCCCCCTCTCAGGGACACTGAAAGAGTGGGCCCCCGGCTGGACAAAGAGCAGCCCAGCCCATGAAGATGAGGTCACCAGGGGAGGAGCCCACGTGTCTATTGTTCCTTCCAGACAAGGCACCACCATCCTGCCCCCTCTCAGGGACACTGAAAGAGTGGGCCCCAGGCTGGACAAAGAGCAGCCCAGCCCATGAAGATGAGGTCACCAGGGGAGGAGCCCACGTGTCCTAGCCCCAAGGCTGTGGCAAGGGGAGCAGGTTCTCCGATGGTCCTTATACCCCACAAGCTGCCCCTGCGGGGCCATCTGACTGCAAAGCCAGATTCTCTTGAATAAAGTATTCTAGTCCAGAAACAGCTCATGCAGGGGAGTGTGTCTGCTGGAGCAGTGGGCAACAGAAGAACGAGGAAGCAGGACAGGTGAAGGGACAATGGGGCAATGGAAAGGGCACACGCCTTCTCTGAGCCTCAGTTTCCTCAGAGAAAAAACCTGCCCAGGTTGTGAGAGAGCATGTCACAGGTCATGGCAACATGTCAGCTTTCTCCTTCCTTCCTCCTCTTGACACCTGAGGAAACTGGAGCCCAAGAAGGCGACGTGACTGATGGAGAGTCAAAGAGCCCTGAACTGGGAGTCAGAGGCCTGGGCTCCTCTCTAACTCACCAAGTGGCACCGGGTTTCCCTCTGCTTTTGTTTTCATCTCTAACCTGAGGGGCTTAGCATTGACAACCTAGATGGCCCTCTGGTTTGACACATTCTAGTGGGGTCCCAGGCCCCATTCTCAGTGGCCCTGGATGGTCACCAGAAACTAGACTGGATTCCTGTACAGACTGCTTGCTCCAAGGCTGCCCTCACGGTAGCTCTGGCCTGCTCCTGCAGCACCCTGGGGCCCACCCCTCCCCTAGCAAGGAGTGCCCAAGATCTAGCCTTGGCCTTAAAGTTGAGGAAGGGCCTGGCCCTGGCCCCCTCTGAACACCCTCAAATTCTAGAGCACAGTCCCCTTCTCCTCCCAGGGCCACCCTACACCCAGTCAAGTGCCTGCTGTCTGGATCCCAAGTGAACGGGGGCTC